TTTTTTTTTAACTTTGTAAATTGTGGCAAATTCGGTATAATTAATCTTGGAGGCAAAACATTATTACTTGGACAAAAAAAAACGGAATAAAAACTTTATTAATTTGAACCAATAAGTTAAAAGTCATTAAAGTTATTAATAAATTTACAAATTTATATTAATGAACTTTTCTTTATTACAAACGATCTTTGATACACAAAGTGCGAAAAAAAATTTATTTTATGGAGTATCCTGTAAAAATGTTGTTGTTCTGTGTTTTAAATTCCAAGGTACGTAATGAATGAATTTGTTTATTTCCATATTTTTTTCCGTGAATGTATCATTTTCATTAAAAATTTTTTATAGAGTGGTGACCGCAATTGCGATTTATCTTTGTGAAAATTATAATTCTGAAGAAAAATTACCAAAGAATGATCTTAAATTGAGAAGTCAAGTTATTCAAGTTATTCAATGGGTAAATATTTTTTTATTCGCACAAAAAATTTGATTAAAATGAGAAATGAACTATGGGCTTCTAATGAATGGAGAACCAAGATTCATATGAATCTTGGTTTTATTTATTTTTTTTATTATTATGGAACGGTTTACTAACCGTTCCTTTCTTTTTTTATAGATTCAGTGTCTCAGAAAGGCTTCCGAAGAATGGAAAAATCTAAAGTTTCGTAAGTATGAGTACGAATCTTTTGGGTTTTTTTTTATTTTTTAATATTATGAGAATGTGTAAAAAATATAAATTTCCCTTCATAAAAAATTTTTATTACATAAATAAGATTCTAATACTGTAATTGAGCGTTCTATATTGAAAAGCATTTGGAAGTGAAAGAATAAGGTGGCTCGTTTTGAAGATTCTGAAGACTAATTAATTTGATTAAAGTAGAAATTCGATTCATTTGTTTTTCATTTTATTTTTCTGTAATACTAAAATTTTTTATTTATTTATTAATACTTAAGAAAAACTAAAATTGGATTTGCATTTTTACAATAAAATGTCGCAACTAGCAATAAAAATATTATTTTTACTATTCTACTCTAAAATATATTACATTATTATTTACATTAAATTTTACATTAAAATATAAAAACATTTCCTATTTACTGTATTAAAAATAAACCAAAAATACTTTCTAGCGTATTATGGGAAGAATCAGCAATAAAACAACATAATATAGAGTTAATAGAATTGATCTATAACAAAATATTCGAAAACCCGAATAATAATATTCACTTATTATCACTGTAATGTAAAAATATGCCACATTCAACCCAAAATATGTTTTTTAAAAAGAAATACAACGTTTGATATCTTAATAATGAAGCTGTGAGGGGGGAAACAGTCTAATAATCAAAACTAAAATCCATCTCATTTGGCTGTTGAATTTCAACGCCATTGTTCTCACATGCTTGTTTGATACTTTGAACCCTATCGTATGCTGAAGACATTTTAAATTGCTTGTATCTGTTGTCCGCCTCATTATATGAGATTATTTCATTACTTACTATAATTTCGAGCCAGATTTCGAAATTAGTACATCCGTTGATCGTACTGGTAAAAAAACAAGGTGTAAGGGTGTCAATAGCATCTAGCACGTTCCACTTAGTTCCAATGGCGTTTAGAACTCTTTCGATGCGAAATCCTCGTTGTAAATTTAATGTCAAATCCTTTTCATTTAATCGTCCATCACTCCTCTTTAAAATTTTTTTTGTAACTTGTGATTTAATGGTTTAACCTTGTTTACGAGGTTTTAATGCACAAAGTAATTCCAATGTTCTGTAAGATTGCACCATGGAAACAAGGAACCTGAGCTGATATCTTCGAGCAACTTCTTGAGAAATTGAGTCCTTTATCAAACTATTGATTGAATGCCAAACGTGAGCTGATAAACTATTAATAGCTGCTTTCAACATAGAAATTCTTTCGCCTTCATTGACAGATAAAAATGATTGTAATGAATAGCTTGGCGTATTTAATATAGCTTCTACAGACGCTTGTCTGTCTCCAAAATCATTATTAGTCACAATGGATGTTGGTGTACCAGAAGGAGTCTTTTCATTTTTATGCAATTCTACCGCAAGAGCACCCTTAAAAATAGAAAATTCGTCCTTATGATTAATAAAGTTTAAGTAATCAATAAGTCAATTCCTGTAATCCCCGGAATGTTTAAATATTAAATTATCTCTCGTCGGAGGATTTTCGGGTAGCTTTTCGATATATTGAAGAAGCCGATATATGTCTTTGGCAACCAATTCAGCCGTAGTATTCAGCAGTTTAACAGATTTGTCAAAATATTCAACTCTAATCCCGAGATCTCTGGCTTTTTGTCTTTCCGAACCTATCTGACTAAAATTGTATGGAATTGAGATCTCGTTAACTTTCGCCTCTACAATCCTAAGATCACTAACTGATCGAACGTGCAAAATTCCATCTGATTTCGTATATTGCATCAACCTGGTTTCAACGTTCATTGTAAATGTCTTAATATTGGTTTCTTTTAGTATGCTCCAGAGCGCGAACGAGACGTTGAATACATTTGTATTCAACTTATCAGTGACTGTTTCCGCAAGTTTGGCATTATCTAAAGTTTAACAAATTATTAATGACCCAACCGAGTAAAATCTTTCATACTAATATTATACCTTTCTTATTTTTTTTAATATTATTGTTGTCGCTTGTACCTTAAAAAAAAAATCCAAATTAGTAAGATACTAATCAATATCAGTCATACAAATATATCAAAATCTTTCGTAATATTATATATACCTTTCTTGGTTTTTTTTGTATTTTTAATATCATTATCATTTTTTCTTTTATTGTTGTTGTCTCTTGCGCCTTAAAAAAAAAAAAATCAAATTAATAAAAATACCAATCAATATCAGTCATACAAATATATTAAACATACTTGTTGAAGAAATCATTTCGAGAAACCTTGTTGTGGATTAGATGGAATGAAGGTAATATGAATTAAGGAAAGTAAGTATTAAATGAAACAAAGTAAGGTAATGAAACAAATTTTTTGAAAGAGAAATTCAGATTAGAATTCGTTTTTAAATAATGTAAAATTTTCACATAATCACATGTAAGTCAATTATCTCGGGAATGATTAATCACATTTAGAACTAACTAATTACAGAAAGTACACACCTAATTATTACACTAATTACAATTAGAATGATTATACATTTTTTATTTGCAACCAGTCATGTGACTTACAGTAATTACATTTGATTAATGTATTTTTTTAACAAGATTTTTAAGATCGTTAAATTAAAATTTATATGAATTTAATTTCATCATTCAATCTCTTTATCATTGCGAATCTCGCTACCTTCAGAACAACTTGAACGATGTTATTACATTAAATACAGTAAGTCACGTTTTTAGGTATATTTATGAGAACCGAGTACGACGGTGTTCTACTTCAATCATTTCAGCAATCTTAGTTTGATCTTTCGCACATATAGTTGGTTCCATATAGTCATATGCATATCGCCATTTACTAATTGATTCATAAAATTTGAGGTATTAATTCCTAAGAGGTCACAAGAATTTTCACTGTAATTTCGCACTTTCTGAAGAAATCTTATTGTTGAACCCGCAAGGTTAAATGTGATCCACCTTACAGCAAGGGTGCTAATTGAGATAAGTATTACAAGTAAATCAACGAAAGTCCCCATTGTAGCGACATTACGTTATATTTTATCTAGAACTTTTGTAACTGATTGGACCATCCCAATAAATATAAGTTGTTTTTCATCCATAGTTTTATTCACCATATATCGATTACAGTCCAACATCCAACTGTAATTCCATGTTCTTCCACTTCTTCCAAAAGGGTTCTAATGCCAGATAAGTTTTACTAGTTGATGATATTTGGAATCAAGAACCTTCTTTTTGTAGTACTTGAGTAATTACTTTGTTTGACGACTTTCTTGTTTTTAATATGAGCGTTCATCAAAAGAAAAATTGATCCATTTATTGAAATTAGGCACCTGATTATATTCATGACGAATTGAATCTGTTATCGGCTGCACAGTCTTCGATATTATGGCTATCAATAGGGAGATCCTAAAATATGATAAGGAAGAAAAGTTCGTTCGAACTTTTCTTAATCGTGATTATTAAATGTGCCGGAGTTTTTTGATTGGTCTAAATGATTTTGACTAATATTACTGGATAAGGAAGAAAAGTTCATTCGAACTTTTCTTCAAAGTCTTGTGATTAAAGATCTTCAACGATAAGGAAGAAAAGTTCGTTCGAACTTTTCTTAATCGTGATTATATGAGGAAAGCACAAGTATACGATTACCACGTGAATTCTCCATTTGCATTTAATATTATGGCACAATCAATTTGAACAAGTAATATTTGTAACACCATTTTTTGGAACAATACCCAAGACATTTCATTCATGCTTTTGAAATAACCTTCTGCTTGATCTGACCCATCATATAAATCATCATTTCGGAGAATTGTATATTGAACTTTTGACTTTTCAAAGTGTCATATTTTGCAAAAATAGCATACTTTAATCCAAAAAATCTGTGTCATCTTTAAGGGTATTTGATTTGATTCGTTAAAAGAATTTTAGTTGGTTGATCCCCAGTCAAATCAATGATACCAGTATTCATTGTTGGCGTATTATAATTATCATTAAAAAATGATGTCAAAAAGGTGGTGCGCATTCTTTTTGATTCAATTTCTTGTGTTATTTTGGAATTTTCGATATGTGTTGGTGTAATAATATGTTCCTTTAATCTGGTTCCATCACTAAACGGTGCAGAGTTATTAATTTTTGACAACTTTGACAATAAACATGCTTATTATCACTAATAAATCGTAGGATTTATCCTCTAAAATCTTTTTAAATAAAAATTTTCCCGATAGAACAAGATTTTGAAAAATTTCTACTATCTTTTGTTCTGTATTTTCATCTCGAGTTCTTTTGGCTGATAAATTTTCACTTTGAACTACTAAAATTTAATATAAATTACTTAATTATTTTACACGTTTAAATTAATACATAAGAGCGACATTTTCACCAGTATTAGATGCAGTGCTTTTTCCTTTTCCTTGAATAAAGTTATTTGTTATTCCAAAATAATCAAGTTTTTTTTTGTTGTAAACTTTTTTTGGATGAACTTGAATTACTTACTACTTTCATTCTTTATGATTAAATTTATTGACAAAGAAAAAAGAGATAAATGATAAATAATAAATAATAAAAAGTACATCGAACATTCCTGATATGGATTTTTGTACGTCGAACCCCTTAATTCTGAACTAAATCTGTACGCGAAAGTAACGCCTTCAAACAAGCATTCAAGGTATAATAGAGATTAGTAATGCTATTATGTTGTCAGAACATAATTACCTGTTTAGAGAATCAAATTAGTATAAACCGGTTTTTATAGTATCAAAATGGTTAAACATTATGTCAGAAACCATAGAAACATGTGACAGAACTACCCGAAAATTTGGGTTCTATCTGTGTATTCAGGGGCTTTGAGAGAAGAAAAAAAAAAAATCTACAAATAATATAATAAAAAATGTTACATGAAGTGGAAGAGTAACACAATAAAATTACCAAATCAGTAAGATATAATAAATTCGGGGAATTCGTGAAATTTAAATTCGAACAAAATGATTTAGTAAAAAATTTAATTACGTATATGTCACGATAAAATCAAAGCCACATATATATTTGCACAAGTCATAGGATTATTTTAAAATCAGCATTCATTTTATTTATTGAATTTCGTTAGTTTTTATTTTTTATATAATTTATATAAATACTACCCGGGTTCTAATACAAAACTTCAGTGAATTATATTCTGGTCTTAAGCCAGGGGAAATTTTTTATATCGAGTAAAATACCTAAAGTGGGTACGCCTAAAGGGTGATATTTTATGCAGTGCTTGTCTTTTAATTATAATCACGATGGTGTACAATTTTGTATTAGTGCAGATACTTACGTTATCATAATATTTTAAAAATATAAACGCGACAGAGTATTCTCTACCAGGTTTAAAACAAAATGGATAAGGTAAAAAAGCAAATTAAACAAAATTTCATATTTTTTCTTTAAAAAAAATTACTAATTTTGATTATTTGATTAATAATATATTAAGGAAGAATTTAACAAAATTCTGATTGATGAATTAAAATTACTTTTCTTAAAAACAAGAAGCCCTTCATACGATTTCTTAGAAATATTATTAAAATCAATAAATCCTGCAATGAACTATAGTCAAATTGAAGAATACATCAAAATTTGCAAGGGAAAATTTTCAGATTTTAGGTATAATTACAAAAAAGAAATTTTAAATAAAGCGCGAAATCTTGAGGGTTATTTTAGGTAATGCGAAATTAAAATTAATAACTGAAAGTATATTATATTTTTAATTTTAATTTTTTTTTTTATTAGAAATATTAAGTTAGAAGAATTCGAAAGTTTGTTAAATGATATTATTACTGAAAATGATTGCAGACAGATTCTTGCTTCACATCTTTCTTGTGTATATAAAGAATCTTTTGAGGGTAATGAAGTATCTTTAAATGAGCTTACTAATTTTGTTACAAAAAGTATGTTAATTGGTATAAAATCTTTTTACATACCAAACTTTAATGTAAAAGAGGAACTTAAAAAATTAGACTATTGTACTAGTTCAGTTAGACTACAATCAAGGTATCATACTAATATTGTATATAACATGGATTAAAATAAACTGAAATTATAAGTTACAGATTGAGCTTACCATATGATCTGAATTTTACTATGTAACGACAATTTTGTAAATAAAGTTTGTTTAGTAAAATTATCATTATATGACATTGACTGGATGATATATAAAGCTGTAAGATCAAATCCTTAAATAGTTCTTACACTCTTATATTGTAATAATATAATGTTCAAACAAATTAAGCCACGATGAATCAGTTGTACTACTCTATTTACCTGGATGCACATGATCGTTACGCGCTTTACATCACATTTAAATATTTAATGTACGCGTCTAATATTTGATTTTTTCAATTTTTTCTCGTTCAATTTTTCTTTCAGAAAAAAAAATGCCACCCAAAAAATCTAATCAAAAAATACTACCTAACGCACAAAACACGTCAAAAGGTAAATAATATTACGATAAATAATCTCTTTTAAATATAAAGAGAATTCATTATATTCGTTATTATAGAATGTGAAAGTAACTCGAAAAGAACTTCAAATGTCGAAGACGAGGAAACTGTTAAAAAAAGAGGTTCAAAAAAACCACGACCTAATGCTGCTGAAAATAGTACCGTAAAAATTACAGTTCCCGAAGATCTTGACTATAGTGGTACGACTTAATTTAATTATGATTTTAATAATCTCAGAGTTAAACAACAATTTTTTTTTTTGTAGTGAGCGAAGAAAGTGATGTTGGTTTAGAGGAGGATAAACTTATTCCACTTAACCCGGATAACATTATTAATCTGGAAGAAAAAAGTGAGATTAAAAAAAACAAGTAAGAATATTATAATTCAATTAATGATAGCTTACAAGAAATGAATTTAAATTATATTTTTTTTTTTTAGTATTAATTTAGAATCATATAGCGAATTCCAAATCGCAAATTTCGTTGCAGATCATCTGTCAATTTTAAAATTAGCAAACGTACTTCGTGATTCAAAAGAAACGCCAGCAGGGAATTCAGTAAATGAGTCATTAAATATTCAAAATGAGAAGGTAATATTAATATTTTATTAGACTATAATGAATATGTAGTTCTCTAATACCAAACAGCTAGTGTGATCTTAAATAAATAAAATTTATTTTTTTTAGAAAACCATGGACAAAAATAAAAAGCTTTTTATTCAAGAATTGAAGCTGTTGTTCCTTAGATGTAGGATAGCAAATTCTCACATTTTTAATTCAATCATTTCTGCAACCCATCCTCATTTACGAACTGAACTTTACAGAGATTAAGCTAAAGAACTTCGTCGTGAATGTGGCCTAAAAATGTCAGACTTTCTGTTCAAATTTATAGCAACTTTGACTGAAATGGCTCGCACTTTTATTGATAGTGGTGAAAAGTAAGTATTTGGAAGGTTTTAGCATTATCATTTAATTAATTAAATTTATTGATTTTGTCTATTGATTTTGTTTATTAATAGGGTAGAAGATTTTATTGGAGATTCGTGGAGAAATATTTTGGGCTTGCATCTTAAAGCCATTAATAAAACGAAGTTCGAAGCAATGAAGGAAGATCATAAAAGGCTCCGCAATTTTGTGCTGGAATCGTTTAAAGCTGTAGTAGATTATGAACAAAAAAAATCCACAATAAGTCCTAAAAACGTTATAAAAGATACTTTAAACCATATTACGATCAATATAAAAGTTCCTTCATCTTCGGGTCATGATATTGTAAACAATTTAAATATCGAAGATTTAATTAAGTAGCACCACTATAAGGAAGTGTTATTTGATTGAATCTTATGAAATTAATTAGTAAATAAACACAGAAAATATTTTTGAGAAATTGAAAAACATAGGAAAAAATTTTATTTTGTGATAAATTGCGCTACCTTAGATTTTCTACAAAAATTAAATTTGGTTTTTCTTACTAGATTTAAAATTTTGTATTTTAGAATTTTCACGTATTTCAATACCTAAATTTAAGTGGACACAATTACAATTTTGTTACATTCAGGGGTATTTATTCGTCACGAATAATCGCATATAATAGAGTTAAGAACACATGAAGACAGTAGATATTATGATCTGATCATTGTGATCATTATGTAAGGATTTGCAAAAATAGATAATCGATATTATATTAATATAACAAATTCGTATAATTGATTACATGATGATATATCGTTGATATCGTCTCATATTGATATCTTCAATATTGTTACTAGAACAACGAAATATTTATATTGTTATAACAAATTTAGAAATAGTTGACAATCAGATGACAAATCTATTTATTTTATTTATTTAGTACATTATATGAAAATATTAAATTTTTACATCAATCGGATAAAATGAAAAATACATTTTAAGAAAATATATACTAAACATCAATTAAAGCCCATATATTCAATTTCCAAAAATGTGTTGAACTAATTTAAATAAATGTCGACGAGTCACAAATAGATATCTAGATTTTTCATCAATCTATAGATGAAAATTCTTTATAAAATTATAAAATAGTTCTCTTTTGGCACATGAGTCGAATCAGTCGATACAAAACCAATAGCAGTTTTATTACAATTATTTGTTGTCACGTGTAAGTGGTTATAATCATATAAATAATGACGTAATATACTGTACCTTAAATAGCGCGTCATAACTGACAAAAAAAAATCTTCCCACTTGTTTTCGCTGTTTCTAGTTTTTGAAATAAATAAACAGTATTTTTCTTTAATTTCTTTAATAAAATGGAATTTGGAGGTGGGTTTACTTTTGATAAAGGTATTTTTTGAGGTGTTTACCTTCTTTTGAT